GCTCTTGCAATATGGGTGAATACCAACTCCACCACCGCCGGAGCAGCCGACCAAAGCTTCACGATCCAACACCGATACAAACTCCCAGCCGCAATCCGTTTATCCGCCAACATAATCTCCTTCAACGTAGTTGCAATCACAATCATTAGAACACTTGTAATCAGAATAATCTCCCACTCCAGCCTCATATTGATAGGAACGGTGAAAAATCTCAACCCCTACAAAGAGGGGAGACAGTTTTTAGAGGGAAGCAAGAGCTGTCTAGGGTTTTGCTAATTCCTGGGCTGAAAGAGTATGATATGATGTGTAAGTTTCATTAAATTAGTTACTACATTTCTTATTGCTTACAAAAAACACAAATATATCCATATGTTTGTCCTATTTTTTCAAACTTGCGAGATCTCATTAAACGTATGTGGGCATGGACACATCATCATACACCCTTATCCACAGTCCACACATGATAACATATTCTACTGCATCTTATCCGAATATTCTTCTCCTCTTCTTTAACACTTATCTCCCCCCTTCTATTATCAGCCAAACTTTTGTCGTTTACTCTTTAATTTTCACACTTAAGCAATTAGTTCATCATTTATCCAATACGCAATTACTGGGTGGGTAGGCTGCTTTCTGGCCCACTCATATTGAAGTTCACTCAATCTATTAGGTGGCCTTATTTGGTAAACGTGTACTCACACACTCCATTCTACACAAATTAATATTGTACACACTTTTACACGCATTTGTAAAAGTCTTTTTTATTTTCACAGACAATAATATTTTGTGTACAAAATACTTTTTTTTTTTGTTAAAACCTAGGCCATAATCAAAGATCTAGCTTTTCCCTTTACAGGATCCCTTCCATTAAAGTCTTTTGACTATTATACTTCTATAGTTCTAAGCAAATCATTGTTTTAGAAATTAGGTTTTATAATACTCGCTCCGTATCTATTTAATTGTCTCGTTGCTTTTCACAGAGTTTACGATAATTAATGTGGACTTTATAAAAGAATAGGAGATTTTTGGTACTGTAATAGTACTGTTTGAGTGAGTTTCTTTCCAAAAAAGAAATGAGACAATTAATTTAATACACTCAAAAAGGAAAGTGAGACAACTAATTAGATACAGTACATGATAAGAATCATATACTTTTAATATATATATATATTGGCATGATTTTTAAAATGAAATTAAGTAACCACAAAACACAAATTGTCAATTTCTCATTATTAAGAAAATTGTCCAAAATGAAAAAAAAAACTAAACGTATGAGGGGGGAAAAGGAAATCAGCATTGTTTTACATGAAAATGAGCAGACAACGTACATTAAAAAATTACTACCTTCAGATCACGATATGATTTGCTGTAAGATTATTTTATAGTAAAATACGGAGTATTAGATTTAGTTTTATCGTGTAGTAGATTAGAATGTAGGTTCATACTTTTGTTTGCATGTTCAGAATCGCGTAAGGATCTTGGCACTTTGTAGTAGTCAACCAAAAAGTATAAAAAGAAAGATTTCACCTTTGCATACTTAAATATATCTCAGCCCTAAAGTTTGATTTTTGTGTGAGGACGGTTTCTATTCTAAAATATTTAATGTAGGTTAGTAGGCAGTTATAGTTTTGTTCTATTAACTGCTTATAATTGCATTTTAATGGGACATGTTCTTTGCTGAATGACATTCTACATTGTAGTCCAAACTTTTGTAGTAATACTAACACCGAAAATTGTAAATTATAGTTTATTTAAGGGAAAACTGTCAAATAGGTCCTCGAACTTTCATAAAAAAATCAAATAAGTACTTATATAGGAGACTCTGTCCGGCCATCGCGATTTGGGGTGGTTCCTGGTGGAATTTTTTGACGAAAATTTTTGAGCATCTTATTCATCAAGTCTAGTTTACTCATACTAAATTTCAGCTAAAACTTCAATCGGGAACGCATTCAAATTAATTCTTGAAGATAACTGTTCAGTCTCCCACCGGAAATCGCCCCAAATCGCGATGGCCGGACAGAACTTTCTATATAAGAACTTATTTGACTTTTTTATTAAAGTTCGAGAACCTATTGACAGTTTTTCCTTTATTTAATGGTGCTATATTGGGATGGTTCTTACAGTGTATTAAACATTTTTGATAAATTTAGGTCATACTCATTTGAACTGAACTTTTTTGAACTGATATGTGTAAGTCTACAAGACCTAATCTTCATTACTTTGGTTCAATTAACTGATAAAGTATGATCTAGTGTGATTTAGTGAGATCTATTTGTTCTTGTGTTATGTGATCTTTTAAGTTTGATTTAATTTGATTTGGTCTAAGAGATTAAGACTAAAAGCAGTTCAAGTCAACAAACAGCTCCACACTATGTAGGATAACTCTATCAATAATTCAACACTAATATTATTTGCATTATTATTTTTTCTAATAGATCAATTCAGAACCGGCTAAATTAGGCTCAAAATTAGTTTTATATCAATAAGAAATAGATCATGTTGTAATATATCCCTAAGGAATTACAACTACTACTTTACTACGGAGTAATATTTAGTGCTCATCTTGGGATTCTTGGGCACCTCTGTATATGATCTTTCTTTAGTTTAGTGGTATGTACTTTTATAGTGCTCGTTTTTTCAATTATGAAGCGTGGCTAGCTAAGTGATCAAATTCCCCCTCCATACTAAGTTTCAACTTTCTTTTTTCGTTCGTCTCAACTTAACTTCCAATTTCTTGTTTTAGTAAAGAATTTGTGATTCACATCATTTCTTATATTCTTACACATTTCTCTCTTGCCTGTACAACTCTTCACCACTCAATATTCACTATCTTAATCTACGTGTCATTTGTACTATGGAAATTTTATTAGGGACGGAGGGACTATTAGGCCTCATATTTTTAAAAAGTTCATAACATTTGTTATGTGCCTCCATGACTTGCGTAACCATAAGCCAATCATTCTCTCCCATAATCACATAGAATCTTTGAGAAGTTTTTGACACAAAAGCTCAGTATTTATCAACGTAACACAAGGCCAATCTACCTATTTTGTGGCCATCCGTTAGAAATGGTTTCATCACTTTCATGACATTTGATTTTCCTTCTAAACGTGCCTTTTCAAACAATTCTATGTACTCGAAATTTCGACTTAGTTTCATTTGAGGCTTAGGGTATGTTTGTCACAACTAGCTGAAAAGATACTTTTGTGAGCTTTTTAGTAACTGTTAGCTTTTAGTGAGTGAAAAGATCTTAAAAAGAAAAGGTGATAGCTGTTTGGTAAAAAGCTGACTGTTTGATTTAGTTCGGTTTGGTATACAAGCTGTTAGGACTAATTAATACTAAAAGTCACGAGCTTTTCTCAGATGCTACACCCGGTAGCATCTCAAAAAAGATCTTTTAATTTTTGAAAAGCTCTTAAAAAATGTCATGCCAAACATACAACTAGAGTCTTTTAAGGTCTTTTTAAAGAAAAGAGAAGCTAGAAGGCAGAGGCTTTTGTGTGCCAAACATGGCCTTAGGCTCTAATATTTGCCTTTTTGACTTTTTGCAAGTGGTACTTCTCGGATTTTGATGATATCAAATTGCTCCATGTATCTCCCGCTTTTATTTTATTTTTAAACTTTCGTCCATGTTGAAAAGTATTCTGGAAAACGTTGAAATTTTTACCATTTTCTTCAAATCATTTTTCTGAGCTTTATAGCCCAAAAAGTAGGTCTTTTGACATCAAGTGCATCCATAAAAACTATGGTCTTTGAGTATACTTTTATTAGTTGTATTTATCTTGACTCTTGAGCTAATTCATTAATTCCGCCTCAATTTTGCAGCTGTGTAACAGATGAAATAGTATTGGAGGCATTAAGGCTGTTGAACAAGACATGACAGCCTCATTTGCTCTAATTGGAGGGACAGAAAAGACAAAAAGGCTTCCAAGTAGATGTGTTAAGTGTAGTGCATATTAATGTGCACAAGTATAGTTTTGCACATTTTGGTTGTAACTTACTAACTTGTAAGCTTATTTGTTGAAGTCCGATATTAGAAAGACTCAAAAATCTGAAAGGAATATAAAAATAATATTCTAGTCCTGGGGAAGTTAGGCATTTTTTATATTTTAAAAATGCATTATTGTAATGTAGACATGTAGAGCCCGTTTGGAGAACTCTTTTTCGGCTTATCAGGCTTATCAGTCAGTTTTTTCACCAAACACGTAACTTTTACTTTTGTGTGCTGAATTGTGTAATAAGCAGAAAAAGTAAGGTTGGAGTTACTTTTCTGGCTGTATTGGCTGAAGTTACTGTAGAGGACTATTTTAGCTATTTTTACATGTAATTTTTTCTATTATTTATTAATAAAATATATTTTTAAAATATTTTTTTCTTGAATCAGCAGAATCAGCCAAAACAGCCACTTCAGCCAGAATTTCATAAATTTCAGCAGAATCAACCAAAACAGCCGATTTTCGTGCTACCAAACGGGCTCGTAGTTGTACTCATTTTTAAGGTCTGTTTTGATTAAATATGGTGGATTTAATTAAATTAAACACAGTCTAAATTGATCTGCTAATGTCTAATTTTATTTACTACGTATATTTTACTACTACGTATTATAATACTCTCGTATTTGATTTGATTTGTTTAAATTCAGATCCGTTTGAGGTTACTCATAATAACTCTGTTAAAGCAAAAATTGTCCATCATCCAAGTGCAAACGCAGGGCACTTTCAAAAATTTAAATTTTTCCTAAAATGAGGGGAAAATATTGTACAAGCAAAACTCCTCTGAAAATATTTTGCTTGCCTAAAATGAGAACCCAGGTTCAGCGGAAGAGGGACCTTTTCGGAAACTGGAAAGTAAAGTCATATTTGGCTTGCCTAAAATGGTAGTCCAAGTTCAGCAGGAAAGTAAATATTGGGGGACGGAGCACCACATTTTGAGTTTTTTCGTTTAAATTTGAGATTTGGTGGTTGGGTTGTCTTTTTATGTGAACAGCTAAGGCAGATTATGGTAGGCAGATTAACTTTTGAAATCTTAATAATAACTAATAAGCATGTTACCTTCTTAGCTGTGAAAAATAGAGACAAAAACAGGCAGGCATTCAAGAAGAAATGGTCATCAAATTAATTCATCATTCAGCCAATTAGCCAAAATGTAAATGTACAGAAAAAATACAGAGTTTTATTTCAAGATTTTGGTATAGCTCTATGCAGCGACATATACAAGAGAACCAGCATATTTCCATCCTCTTGGGGTCTCTTCCCAGAAAACTTTACAATCAAACCACATGCGAAATACTCTGTATCTACCTCCCGGTAATGACGACGATGGGGATGGCAATGACCATGGTTATTCAGGAGTTTTCTGCGCCTCGAACAAATGATCCTCTCCCTTTTAGCGTGAAGTTGAATGAACAGATGGGCATGAATGAAGATAAAAAACAAGTGTTTCGGGCAATCTGCTCCATACCCATCCTTCTTTTTTTCAGATTGAATCTGTCGATCTCCTCGGCCTCTAGTTGCATAGTCTAACAGTGCAAGCAACTGTCTGTGCCCAGAATTTAAGCCGTGCTTTGACATCTTCAGGATCATCACCTGGAGTAGGAAAAAGTGTTCATACACATTGTTAGAATCACAGGTTGACAAACTCTATTGTTTACATAAACTGGTGGAGCTTCCTGATATTGTAGCTCTAACACACTAAAATGACAAGTATTAAATAATAAAAAAACTGTATAAAAATAGTCTAAACCGCATATTCTTTACCGACATTGCTGATTGTTACATATAGGAGGATCAAAAGTTTCAAAAACTCTTTTTTACAGCAAAGATTCAACCTTTCAAATTCATAATAAATACTCCGTAACAAATTGGTGTTTACCAATTTCCGTTTCATAATAAATGATTGCATCAATCTCAAAAAGAGGTGATTTAGCCTTGGTAAAAAGAAGATTTCACTACACAATGCTTGACAATAAGAGCTGAAAAATCTGAAAAATTTGAAATAATGTTTGACCAAATAGTAAAGCTGGCCAAACCGAAAGCACAATGAGATCTCAATCACATTAACTATCTAAACATAGAAACAGATAGAAATTTCAAATTGCGATTCAATCCCATAATTGGAATGGATCAACATCCAGGATCCCTAACCAAGTTTTCCTTGAGCTAATCACGACAGATCTAACAACAAGTACAATTGAAATCTTTCGCAGTAATTAATAAATCAAAGTTTCAGACGGGAAGAGGAATATACCAGGGCTAGAGATTTTCCAATTGGCAATCGGCGTGGACGCAGACGCGGTGGAGGCTGTGTCCGACATAGATTCCGGCGACTTCTGGTGATCATCAAGATACTTCTGGCTCATGGAATAACAAAGCTCGAGGGCAGGCAAGGTATTACACAGCTCGGGAATTTCCTCATAGTTAAACCCAAACCCTAGATCCAAACACCCCTTGAGCTCCTCCAAGTCATCGTCAGTCAAACTCTTCGTCCTCCCGAGCTCATCCTCATCCGACGTCTCCACATACCCCTCGAGAAACACCTGCTTCTTATTCTTCTTGTTCTTAGCGTTCATCGTTCGCCATGGATCGCGCTGTTTATCGTCATTCTTCAACCACCCAAAGCTGCTGTAACAGGCGTCGTCTTCCTCCTCTGAATGTTCATGGAATAGGGTTTCGTGCGGCGGCGGGGATAGGGATCTTGTTTCGGCGTAATTGGTGGTGTCCATTATTCTTTCCGTTCCTTTTTCTGCGGCTTCTTTTGCTCTGCTTTGTTTGAACTTCGTAAAGTAATAGCTTGAGGGGGGAGGCTGGAGTTATATAGATGACCCGATATAATGTACAGCTGTGTCTGAGCTGGATGCCAATTATTGTAGTTAGAAATAAGGCAATTATTTATATACGCCAAAGATAGCGTGTCTAATTTGCATCCACACGTTTTTATACGTATTCCCTCGGCAAAACATAAATAAAATTCGGATTTATTTATTTATTATTCTTAATTTAGCATATGTTTTGCGTTGTAGTAGTAGCAGTATACTACTACTAAATTAAAGATGTTTTTTTTATCTGATCTTTTTAAGTATAATCTGATATAGTATGGTGTAAATTGATCTGGTGAATGTTTGGTCTCTGTGTATTTTATGATTGTTCAAATTTGGTGTGGTCTGGTCTGTTTAAATTGATCCGGTCTGATTTGATCTAGATTTATCTGATTTGGGAATGAAAACAGTTTAAAAGAAAACATTCTAATACTCCATATCATAATAACAATTTTTTTTTATCGTAACAAGTTGTTAAAATAAATTTGTACTTGAAATAAGAAAATAAAACTTTTAGGGTATGAAATCAATTCTTTTTACAGAAGTATGAAATCAAAATTAAGAGTATGAGAATAGGACCTATGAAAAGTAAATATTTATGTCATTAATCATAAAGTTATTGCTTTGCAATGAATAGCAATTATTTTGGATGTTTGAATAAGAAACATCCAAAAAGTTACTCCCTCCGTCCCTTATAACTTTGCCAACTTTCCTTTTTTGGACGTCCCACTAACTTTGCCACTTTCCCTTTTAAGTAAAGAATTTGTGGTTCCAGTTAATTCTCTTTCCTCTGCACAAACTTCAACCACACAATTTTTACTTTATTAATCCCCGTGCCGGTCAAACTTGGCAAAGTATTGAGGGACGGAGGGAGTACTTTCTTATTGCTTTTCAATAAGAAAAAGGTAAAAACTTATTCTCCTGATCTTGCTAAACTTGTTCATCTTTCCATTCCACCTATCCCACTAAAATTATTCTATATTAAATTTGATAAAATTTGTATAGTTTTTGACTTTTTTTACTTTATTTTTATTTATCCATTCAATACCGACTATATAAATTCATTTTTCTTAATAAATACGCCACTTTCTCATGTCTAATTTGCATCCACACGTTTTTATACTCCCTAGCCTCTCCAAAACATACATACAATTTGGACTTATTTATTTATTCTCGATATAGAATACTCCCTCCGTCCCCTTTTAAATGTCCTGTTTTACTATATTGGAATGTCCCTATTTAATTGCTTCATACCTTATTTGGTAAAATTTGTGTGGCTCAAAATCATTCTTACTTTATTCTTACTTTATCAATTAATATCAACCACACAAACTCACTTTTCTTAAAACTCGTGTCACCTTCTTCCGGGATATTTAAAAGAGGACGGAGGGAGTATATTTTTGTGTAGTACTGAATTAATACTTTACTTTCATAATAACAATTTGTTAAAAAAAATTATGAGAATGACACTTATGCAAAGTAGAGAGATATGACACTAATCATCAAGCTATTGCTTTGCAATGAAATAGCAAGGGCCTGTTTACTAACAGAAATATTTTCTGTTTTTGGAAAACTTTGGAAAACTGAAGACAGAAAAATTAGAAAACGTGTTTACCTTAGTGTTTTCCAGAAGACAAAAAACGAGACATGTCTCGCGTTTTCCTTCGTTTTCCTTCGTTAATTGAAAAACGACATTTGGCCGTTTTCATGTTTTAGAAAACGCGGAGCTACAGGGCACCCTATTAACTCTCGCTCGCCTTCATTCTTTACAGCGCTCTACCTTCCTCCTCTTTATTGCGCTCTACCTTCCTCCTCTTTACTGCGTCTATCTTCCTCGAGGTCAGCTGTACGCCCTATTTTTACTCCTCGCCATTACTGCGCTCTACATTCCTCCGCCTAACATATTTACATCTCCCCCAAACCGCTTCAACTTGAAGACAGTGTAACCCATCCCTCTCCTATTAAAGTGGCACACAGCTTCCCAAAGTCATCGCAGCACTTCTCCAACACTCTCCAAGATGCAGCTTTGTTTCCCAAAGGCATTGCACCAGTCCCAGCAAACAGAGCATAGCCGGTAGGAGTTGGACCCTGCCATCACGGACTCTCCCAATTCTTCAGTCGGCTCTTGTTCTGTGAACGATTTCAAGGTAAGCTCTCAAATTAATTGGCATTTTTGCTTTACCTGGTTGATAATTCGAATTCAATTGGAAACTGAAGGCCAATTGAGCTTCATTGTTTTTAATTTTCTGGCTAATTTGTTTATTTCTTGATCTGTTTTTCGTAGTTGTATATGGATATATATATATATAGAGAGAGAGAGAGAGAGAGAGAGAGAAATCATCTCATCAGGCCGGCCTGACGGGCTGCCCCGTCCGGCCGAGCCCGTTTGGGCACCTTCCCGGTGGAATTTTTTGATGAAATTTTTTGAGCATGTTCCTCATCAAGTCTAGTTTGTCCATACCAAATTTCAGCTCAAAATTCGATCTGGAAGGTCGTCAAATGATTTTTGCAAGTTAACTGGTCCGGAATATGTATTTTCCGGACCAGTTAACTTGCAAAAATCATTTGACGACCTTCCAGATCGAATTTTGAGCTGAAATTTGGTATGGACAAACTAGACTTGATGAGGAACATGCTCAAAAAATTTCATCAAAAAATTCCACCGGAAAGGTGCCCAAACGGGCGCGGCCGGACGGGGCAGCCCGTCAGGCCGGCCTGATGAGAAGAGCTCTCTCTATATATATATATATATATGTGTGTGTGTGTGTGTGTGTGTGTTTGAGATGTCGGAGTACAACTGTTGTTCTGATTAACATGTCACTTATTGAACTTTCAGTGTTGGGGAACATTTATGTTATTTTTTTTAATTTCAAATGTCCCCTTAAATGTGCATTTCTGTTTCGAAATATTAAGTCAACGTTGTTTGGTAAAAATGAAATGAAAAATTGAAAAACTCTGGTAAACATGTTTTCTGATTTGGAAAACAAAAAACTGGAAAATGAAAACAGAAAACTGAAGGCTTGAAAACAGAAAATGAAAACAGAAAAATATTTCTGTTAGTAAACGGGCCCCAACTATTTTAGACGTTTCAATAAGAAAAGTAGGGCAAGAGAAGGAAAGTAATTTCTTTAAATTTAGGATATTCATTAATTCATTGTCCTAAGAACTCAAAAAAGTCACCTATAAAAAACCACCTTTTATCATACTCGAAAAATCATTACAAACTATAATTCTCATCATCTATCTAACCACAACCTATAACGTTGCGATTAGACATAGAGACGATAATAACAATAGACCATCCTACCCCTGACAACATCAATAGTTATATAATTGTCATCTTCACAAACCAATCACCACATTTTTTAACAAATAAAGAAACAACGGGAAAAAACTCAAAAAAATAAAACAACATAATAGATGAATGAATCCATGGATTCTTTGGACCTCACCTCCTTGACACTTATTCTAATCTCGTATTCAATCGTTTGATGAAATTATGAAAAACAAGTACAATCTTCCAATCCAACACCGGGCAACCCAACCACCTCGTGGCAATGGTTCACGAGGGGGATGGGCCATTTGTGTCGCCATATATGAGATGTATAGCATGGTGATTTTTTATAAAAATAGATATAAGGTAGAAGGAATACCATAATGTAAATTTGGTTAACTTTATTATCTTTGTTCCTCAATTCAGTTCACGTATGAGCTTTCATGGTCTCCAACATCAACATTTGGCAATTTATACATAAAAATATACGTACACTTATAAAATTTATGCTTCGTAATAAATTATCATTGCAATAATGTATATTAAAGTGAAGTATTGAAAAATCTATATAATAAAGCAAACCCCTAAATAACCGGAATTGTTGACATGTGGCAACATCCTTTGTATGAAAAAGTGACACGTGGCAAAACAATAAATTAAAGAAAAAGCTATTCAACTTCCAAATTAAAACTCTACTCGTAAATATTCCGATATTATATATATGTATTTATATTAATATATGTGTATATATTTGTTATAATTTTGAATATAAAATTAGGTAAAATTTTGCACTCGCCGGTATTACAAAATTCAAATACTCAAAAATAAAAAATAATTAACAATTTTTAGCCACTCTTAAAATAAAAATATTGCTACGTACTTCTATTTCTTTTCTCATAAACTCTTGCAGGTTCTCCCTTATTCAGAATTTTTATAAATTGGTTCTTATTGGTTTCCAAAATATGATAATTATTACATCCTCCGTCTCATTCATTTTCTCCGATATATATTTTCTTTTTCTTTCGTTCACTAAGTTTCTGTAGCTCCAAATATTATAATGCATATGTAGTTCTAAATCATTCTTAGATTATTGTCCCTACTTTTCATTTCAACATTAGCTAGATAAACTCTTTTTTAGTAGCTGCACGTGTCTCGATCTTAATGAGACAAATGTGATATTACTTATCTATTTATTAATTCACAAGGTCTACTAAATCAAGGTCTAAAGGTAGATTCATTTTTTGTCACATATTTATTTATACTTCACAATTTATGTCCATGTTGTTAAATGGGTTAGCTCTCCCCAATTTCATCGCTTGGATCATCTAACTGCCTAATGGTCTTAAACAACGCACATTATTTTTAATGGGGGTGTACAATACACTTATAGTTAAAATAATGCAGACTTTAAACAAACAAGAAAGGTTGAATTTTTACAAAAATGTCACAACATTTTTTATTTATGATAGCACATATTTCTATTTCAAATAATGCACAATTTTTAAAAATAACATTCGAGCTCATTCAATTTTTTTTACACGTTAAGGTGTCTTCTCATTTGAACTCAACCTTATATATATAATTTACAATTTTCAAATCTAATGTTTCGGTACATATATAGAAATAATGCTGAAAACAAAAAAAAATAGAAATAATGCTAGAGTAATTTATTTGAATAATTAGTATATATAAAA